GACCAGGGTAGATGTGGGATGGACTAGGCAAGGTCTCAACCCCTGTTGAGCCATGTGTGAGCTGTATGTGGTATGGACAAGCCATGGCTGGGCTGAAACATCCAACAGCAAGGACCAGTTTGGGTTGAAGGCCAGTCAGGAGAGGCCACTGTTCCTGCTAGGACAGGAGGTGAACTGAGTAGGGCTGGCTCATGGACCCTCTGGTATGCCCAAAATCAGGCACTGGGAGAGGTTCTGATGGAGGAGCCTGGGCAACTCCTCTGGCAGAACACAAACCCGGCAGGTAAGTGCAAGAAACATGATAAGAAACAGCCCAGAACAGGCCATGGAAAGTTACCCACTGGCATACATTTGGCATGGGTCGGGGGCAGACCAGACTGAATCTGTTCATGTCATCCACTGGCAAATCCAAGCAGCAGAACAGTGTGGGTCGAGCCAGGTTCGGTCGCGACAATGGCCAGTGCACAATACAGAATGCCAAGGTGAGGTCGCCTGCCCCAGATGTGACTGTAGTGCCCAACCAGCATGCATGAGAACCAGGAAGGGAGGGGGCAGAGCTGGCAGGGGAATAAGGGGTGGTTCCTTTGCTGGACAGCTACTCCCACTGGAGAGCGTGGGCTGGGATGGGGGCAGACCAGACTAAGCAGGGCTACAACACCTGTGCGCCTCATGTGGACTAGATCAGGGAAAAGCCAGGCTGTGCTGATTATTCCTACTGGTGCAAACAAAATTAGTGGGTGAGGGTTGTTTGGGTTTAGCCATAGCATCAGCTGGCAGAAGCTGGCGCTGGGGCCTAGTTCTGTCAAGTCAAACCACAGAAGTACTTGGAGAGAGCACAATCCTGGAGTGGGAGAGACCTGGGAGGGAAAGAGTGGGCTCCTCCCTCTTGGGTTACCACTTCCATGGGAGGGCACGAAAACCAAGAAAGGGGCTGGGGTGGAATGGGGTGTGGGACAGACTGCACTACTGTTACACATACTGGCAAGGCAGGGTAGGGGGTGGGCCTGGTGGGGGTTATTGTGAGTCGCTCCAACTAGACTGCAGCTCCCACTGGTTTATGCGAGGGCTGAGTATGTGCTGGACAGAACCAGGTTGGACTGCACCACCCATTGGTTCCAGTGGAAGTCGGGGCTGAAAACAGAACCAACCCAGTGATCGCAACTACCAGCTGATCATGGCGATGGACTGAGCCGGGCCCTGTACCTGCTAGTACATTCAAGTATCTGGTCTGAGAACACCTCAGACAAAGTTTCTTTGGAGATCTCTCCAACTAAAATGCTGGACTCAGAACCCTAACCAAAAGAGAAGACAGAACAGGTCAATCAACCATCTCAACAATATGTTCGCAGTGAAATACAGGGCAAACAGAGACTCTATGATGGACTATGTCAATCAGTGGATTCTTCAAAGACCTCATAGTGCTTGGAGTGGCAAGATTGGCAGCGATTCATAACTGGTGAACTATCAAAACCACTTAAGCAAGAACCTCAGAGCATACCCTACATCCGGGACCTGGGGTGGGTGGGAAACTGGGTGGGCCTTCTCTCTTAATACCCCCTTTTAAACATGAAGGAAAGAATGTGGAAATAATAGTCTTATCCACTTTCCTATAGCCCTTGAACCTTTTTACCCTAATTAACTATGTAAAGATTGTCAAAAATATAATAAAAAATTTTTAAAAAGGTTTATATGGAGACTCAAAATGTCCAGCATTTTCAATACAATATTGAACGGGAAACAAGTTGAAGGACTGACATTAACTGGTTTCAAGACTTTTATCTCTCAAATTACAGAGATCAAGACTGTGGTATTGGTGAAAAGGCAAACAGAATAATAGAACAGAGCATAGAGCCAAGAAATACATGCACATAAACATAGTCAACTAATCTTGGATAATTCAATGAAGCAAACATAGTGTTTTCTACTAGTGTTTGAACAACTGGAAATCCACATGCAAAAACAAACAAAACAAATCTAGACACAGATCTTCCATTCTAACTCAAAATTGATTGTAGGTCTAAATATAAATTCCAAAACTACAGAACTCGATGGTGATATAGCAGAATGTCTAGGTAACTTATGCTGATGCCTTTCCAGATACAATGCCAAGGGTATAATCCTTATTAGAATTGATATGTTAGACTTCTTTAAAAATGAAAAACTTCTGTTCCTGTGGATAACACTGTTAAGAGAGTGAAAAGACAAGGTAGACTGGGATAAAATATTTGTAAAATACTGTAAGAAACAAAATACAAGAAATTCTTTCCTTAAAAAATATTTAATTGATTAATTAGTTTAAAAGCAGATAGATATTGATCTTCCATTTGCTAATTTACTTGTTAAATGGCTGCATCAGCTGGGGCTGAACTAAGGCAAAGCCAGGAACCAGGCAACCCACATGAGTAGCAGGGACTCAGCTACTGGAATCATTTTGCTCTGCTTTCCAGGTATATTAGCAGCTTGCTGGATCAGAAATGGAGTTGCTGATTCAACAAGAACAAGGAGAACAACCCTAGTTAAAAAAAAAAAAAAATAGGCCTGTAAATCTTAAAAGAAACCACCCAAAAGAAGACATCCAGATGGAAGACAAGCATAAGATGCACCAAATCACAAGCCACCAAGAAAATGTGGGGCCAGCATTATGACTCAATTGGTTAATCTTCTGTCTGCAAGCACCGGCATTGCATATGGGTGCCAGTATGTATCCCACCTGTTCCAATCCAGCTCCCTGTTTGTGGCCTGGGACCCTGCACCCACATGGGAGGGCTTGAAGAAGCCGCTGGCTTCAGACTGGCTGAGCTGTGGCCATATGGGAACCTGGGGTGTGAACCAGTGGATGGAAGATATTTCTCTCTGTCTCTCCTTCTCTCTGTAAATCTGCATTTTCAATAAAAATAAATTTTTCAAAAAAGGAAAATGGCGCAAATTAAAACAAGGAGCTACCACTGCACAGCTACAAATGGCTGAGAGCAGAGCACTGACAACATCAAATGCTGGAGAGGATTTCTCATTTCAGCAGATGTATTCCATTTATCCAAAACAACTGAAAGCTTATCTTCAGACAAAAGCCTCCAGATGACTATTTACAGCAGCTTTATTCATAATTCCCAAATGGGGATGCAACTATGAGTCCTCCAGCAGCACTTAACAGCACTGTGGGGTATTCAGACAATAGAATATTTTTTTCAATGTTAAAAATACACGAACTATCAACCTGTGAAAATCAAAAGTAATCTCAAATGCATATTTCTAAGTGAAATAAACCAATCTGAAAAAGTCAAATCCCATATAATCCCAACCATACGAAATCTGGAAAAGTCAAGAAATAAATTAGAAAAAATAGGTAAAATGAACAAATTCCTCGAAATAAAAATATAGTAATCTAAAGAAACAACACAAGAAATAGAAAATCTTAATACTTAATACTTTCAACTAAAAAAATTGAATTCTTAATTGAAAAATCTTCCAAAAAGCAAACTTCAAGCCCAGAGGTATTTATGTAAGCTGTAATAATGGATTAAGATAGAAAATAATATTAAGTGTATGTTACCTTTTCCAGACAATTAAAAAGATGAAAAGCTTTATAGTTTTCATTGTTAGGTCACAACAATATTTTTACCAAAGCTAGACAAAGACATTGTGAGAAAAATAATTATAGGCCAACTCTTTCTACTGAGTACAAATTTTTTAAAGTCTAGAAAAATGAGTGTAACAAACCTAGCAACTTATGAAAAGCTCCCTATCATGATAAACTTGAGTTTATTCTAGGAATGTAAGATTGGTTTAGCAGGGTTGGTGCTGTGGATAAACAGGTTAATCCTCCACCTGCAGCACTGGCATCCCATACGGGCACTGGTTCATGTCCAGGATTCTCTACTTCCCATCCAGCTCCCTCCTTATGGCATGGGAAGGCAGAAGAGGGTGGCTCCACTCCTTGGGCCCCTGCACCTATGACCCATGTGGGAGACCTGAAAGAGGCTCCTGGTTCCTGGCTTTGGACTGGTTCAGCTGCAGCCATTGCAATCATTTGAGGAATGAACTAGTGGAGGAAGATATATCTCTTTGTAAATCTGCCTTTCAAATAAAAATTAATAAATCCTTAAAAACAAAAGATTGATTTAGCATTCAAAAATCAACCAATACAGTTCTTTGCAGTAACAAAGTAAATAGTGTATGACCATAACATGTTCCAGCAGAAAAAAAGGTGAAAGATCAAATGATTACATGTGTTACATTCTGTTAAGTCAAATAAACCAAACACAAAAAATGTTATATGAATTCATTGATATGTATAATCTAAAAATGTCAAGCTCATGGAAAGTAGACAAGTGGTTGACAGGGACTAGTGGGTGTAAGGATGGAGTATACAACACGATGATGTTAATTCCATTCTGATAGTTATTACACAAGGCATATACATACCAAATCATCATGTTGTAAGTCTTGAATATATACAACCCTTGTCAATTAAGTTATAACTCGACCTATTCACAGGTGTCAATTTGTGAAGATTTGACATCTCTCCCTAGGCACCCGTTACAGCCTGCCATTGAGCACTCATCCAGACAAGTCTTTTGATGCCATATGTGAGCTCCTAAGCATCTGTCTCTGACTGTTCTCCAAACTGCACACTTCTGTACCCAGTTGTCTGTCATTTCTATCTATTCTAGGCTTGGTCCCTTGTGAAGGGCTTGTCCATGCTAGTCTCTGCTTATGTGATGAGATCGCCACCTGAAACTGAACACTTGGTGTCTGTCTGGAGTGATTTAGGGACCCACCTGAATAGAGAATGTGGAATCTTTTGACTCAGGTCAGCTCCATTCCCTTCTTTAGCTCTCTCATACATGTGTAGGGTGCCCCGAGACTGCAGACCACAGCTGCTTTCATCTCTTGTTCAACAAACCCAGCAGCAGCTTCTTCTCTCTGACCTCTGAGTGTTCCAGGGCCCCATGGCTCAGTCTAAGCTTTTCTGCACAGGAAACTTAGCAGCTGACACTTACCTCTCCAGGACCTCACATGATCCAAACCCGAAAGAGAGATTCTTCTTGGAGCCATAGTGCATTCTAAATTCTTGCTGCTGCTGTCCCGCCTCCACAGGAGCTGTTCTTCTTGACGCCGCTCAGACAGATGGCTTGGCTTAGGAGGGCGGGGAGGTGGAGTGTTGGCCATGGTGTCTAGTTCTTTTGATCCACAGGGCAAGAAACCTTGGTTTCTATCTACCTGGATTGTGGAATTTAGGAAACTTTCCAGTAGTGGTGAACAAGACAAGTGGTCCCTGGTTGGCCCATTGACTTCTCTACCCCAGATAAGGGCAGCCGGTTGCCTCATGGAAGGCATTTCCTGAGATCCATTCCCAAGTCGTGAGGGGTGGATCAAGTTACTGGAGGATGATGGCTGAAGGCAGTCAACAAAAACATCATCGAAAGAAGTCTGTTCCAATGAGCGATCTGAGTTTGACCAGCTATCACATCTGGTAGGTAGATTCAAGGAAGAGAAACACATAGTTTGAATGAAATGTAGCCATCCACCCACCACAAAGCCCATGCTAGCCTCATTCCTATTGCTCTGATTCCACACTTGTACTACCTTTATAGCCACATTCCCTCCAGAGCCCTGTTATACCAACTTCTTTGGTGCAGGGGGAAAATGCTTTGTGGGTTTTTTTCATACCATGAACATCAGATTGATACAAAATGTAAGGCTAGAAATGAAAGCCACACTGCTGAAATATATGACTCAGATTGTTTGGTATAGTGCGTGCTTCATGTTTCAGAAAGATTGATAGCGATCTGACCCGCCTTGGTCTTGTCAGGAAGAGGTGACAGCAGACACACCCACTAGAAAATGCAACTGCTAAGTAGACTGAGTCAACCAGCTTGGGTGTATCTCAGCAATAGACTCAACCAGAGGACACAGTGGGCTTTGTGAACAGAGGGCAGCGTGCTAGGAGACTCAGCTCACACAGAAGCCTGGGTGTAAGCATACCTGGCATGGTGCAGTCTTCCAGTCTCACAGTTGGACAGAATCAGATAATCAGGAAGAAAGGGAAAGTCTGACTCACTTCTGGTTTCCTCAGTGGCTATGGTATTAGTGTTTGGGTCATCTGTTGGCAAAGAGGAGCTGGCAGCAGAGGCAGTAGGAAGGGAGCTGGCAGAGGACGGTTGCAGGGAGGAGGGTGTGCGAGAGAGGCTGTCCATGGAATCTGCTGGAGAAATCATTTCCCAGGTTAATGCTGTAAAAATGACTATAACACTCACTCCAAACTTCTCAAACAACATCTACAAAGCCAAATAGAAGATGCAAATCACAGCTGGTGTTTGTACTGATGGAGGAGACCATTTCCCCAAGCTATAAACAGTGTCTGGGAAAGAAGGCCAATATTTCAAAAGTGAAGTGTTGAATCAATTAAGAGTTTAAAAAAAAAGCATTCTTGGCTTAAAATCTGCAATTAAATTGTCTACACATAACTTCTTCAAGGCCCTCAGCAGACCTGCATCATTATTTATTCATCAATAAACATATGTATAAATACATGCACAGTTATGAATAACTAGGATACATTTGTATATGTCTATATAGAACAACTGAATACTGAGTGTACGATGTGTCCAAAGCTATCATAATCCTGATGATGCAGCTGAGACAAACACCTTTATTTTATCAGAGTTTACATGCTGGCACAGGTGACAAATAATTAATAATTGATAAATCCTGTTAACAACTGGCCTAATAAAGGGAAAGAAACAGGGTGTTGTGAATGCTCTCAAAATGAATTTGGCTTAGGAACCATGACAATTCTAGGTCAGAAAATGCCAATGGGAAGCCTTTTTTTCTTTTCCTTTTATTATTTTCTTTATTTTTACTTTTGATGATGATTACACGGTTGACCAGGGTGGGAAGGATTGAGGGTTAGGGAAAAGTGGGTGAAATCATTGTTTTCAAATTCTCTATTTCTTCTTGTCTCTGGGGAAAGGGGAGAGTTAAAGAGGGAAGCCACATAGAACCCCCCTAAATGTCCCAGGACCCAGGGATGGGGAACCATCACCCAATATAGACCCAGGGTCCCAATGTAGTGTATGTTCTGAGGGTTCTGATCAAGTGGTTTTATTGGAAAGGCATAGTCACAGAGAGGAGAGACAAAGATCTTCCATCTGCTGGTTCACTCTTCGAATGGCTGCAGTGGATCAGTAGTGGAGCAGCCTGGATATGAACCAAGGTCCGCATGGTCTGCTGGCACTGCAGGTATAGGTATAATCTACTATGCAACGGCACTGGCTTTTTCTTTCCTTTTTAAACAGAGTTGGCTGTTCATGGCTTCCTGAGTTAGTGTGACCCTGGACTTCCTGGATTCAATTCCAGCCTTCACTAGCCAACTATGGTGACCATAGTCCAGTAATCCACTTGCCTTCTTCAAATTTCCTTCTCTGTAAACTAGAGATATAATAGTACATTTGCCATAGATTCATCTTGAGGATAAGGTGAATTAATATGCAAATGCAGAGCTTCTGGCTGAAGGCATGCACTCTAACCATTACTGTATGGTTGCTGGAAACTCAATTCTATATGGTTGTTTTATCACATCTGTGGCTGTACAGTAGGAAGCTCCATTTACCTGTGTCTAACTACAGTGTGAATGAAGATACATCGCAGTGTGCACCTCTACTCCTGAATAAAAGATGGACTCCCAATGAAACTCTTCAATATATCTTGACAATAGGATGCTGGGTTTATTACCATTGTCTATATCCACAATGTAAGCATATACTTAAATAGCAGAATGATGGACTTATACTATCGTAATAAAAACAGGGGAAATCAGTGGGGGTGGGAAGAGATGCAATGGGGGGAGAGAAATCCCTGAACCTATGGAACTGTATCATAAAAAATTAAAAGATGAAAATATTTTAATGGAAAACTGAGAAGTAAGTCATCAGCTTTTAATTTCCCACCATTCTGAGTAGTTGGATGAAATCTGCTGCGGACAGGGATCACACCCAATGTTCACCGACCTCCTGGTGTAGTATCACAGTGCTCATGTTCAAATGACTGTAGTTGTGCCTGATACTGGCTGTAAAGCACAACAAATTCAGGTACATTGAAGAGAAGCCTCAAGCAGCTTCCTCTTGTTAGCAGAAAGATGAAAGTTCTAAGCCAACAAGAATCACAGTAGCAAAAAGTCTTCTATCCATAAATTTTTGAAGAAGGTAAAAGACATTTGTGCTATTTTTGGTGTTTTGCCTCAGCTTGCAAAAGTTACAGCTGTGGTAAGTGATCATATGGTTCAGAACTGCCAATGGGTTTAGGAATCTACTAGGGGGCTTTGGAACACATGCACACACAGGTAAATGGGGGGCTACTGTATGTGAAAGCCACAGGAAAATCCTCAGGTTTGATTCTCAGTTGAAGAGGATCCTTCTCTCACCATCAGAGGGTAAAGTGGATGGTCTGGAAGCTACAGGGAATTAAAGGGGTTGTGTGTCATAATCCTGTTCCTCTGTGTGTGTGTGTGTGTGTGTGTGTGTGTGTGTGTGTGTATACACATATAGATATAGTCTAACTCCTGGATAAGGAAAGAACTAAAGATAGCTAACATGATCTCACAGAATGCAGACCTAGTTTGTGGTGGAAGTAGGGAATAGCCTTAACTCCATTAGCACCTAGTGTTACTTTGTGGGTACTTCAGGGACAGTCATTGAGTTCAGACCATGGAATTTAGGGATAAGAGTTCCTCTATTACACACAAAAAAGTTAAAGAAATCATATCCAAAATCCCATGCTTTGAGGATAAAGGAGTGATGAAATAGTTCCAGAATCTCAACAAGAAAAAAATCTGTAAAGGGAAATGAAGCTCACAAATATACCTGGCATATGGAAGGAAAGTTTGCGTCTGTGTGTGTCTGTGTGATAAGAGGGAGGGAGAGGGCCCGGTGCGGTGGCCTAGCACCTGAAGTCCTCAACTTGAATTCACTGGGAACCCATTGGATACCAGGTCTAATTCTGGCAGCTCCACTTCCCATCCAGCTCCCTGCCTGTGGCCGGGGAAAGCAGTGGAGGATGGCCCAAAGCCTTGGGACCCTGCACCCGTGTGGGAGACCTGGAAGAGCTCCCGGCTTCGGATCGGCATAGCATCGGCCGTTGCGCTCACTTGGGGAGTGAATCATCGGATGGAAGATCTTCCTCTCTGTCTCTCCTCTCTGTATATCCGCCTTTCCAATAAATAAATACATCTTTAAGATTTTTTAATTAAAAAACAAAAGAGGGAGAGAGAAAGACACTGAAAGAGAGAGTGAATGAGCACCAGCACGTGCCTTCTGATGTTCAATTGTTCCTGCGCAGAAACGGCCCAGAACAAACTTGTAGCTATTTCCCCTGTGAGGCCTTGAGGCAGTTACAGATATGAGTAATTATTTCCTGCCTTTGATATGTTCTTCCTTTCTACCCTCTGGTATTGAACACTCTAATAGGCACCAGAAAAACTGGAGTTGCCGTGAATCTCTGGGATGAGTAAAGCTGGTGACTCTAGAGCATGGAAACTGTAGGGACAGGGAAAATGGAACCTGGGAGGAAATTTTCACTGGTGTCCAACTTTCACTGCCTGGGTTCTCTGCGCCTGGATGCCGGCAAAGACACGAAAGGGCTACAAAACCAGTCAGAAAGCTCAGTGCGTGCCTGTATATTGCCTCCCATATGTGAATCTGTAATGTCTGATAGTGCATTCTGAGGGGAACAGCTCTGATATAAAGGAGCATCGTGGTTCCTGGAACTGGTCTTCTGGAGTAGCTCCTCAGTGTGGGACACCTCGTAATAGGAGCTCTGATCCCGGTCTTACCTGCACTGTCCTCCGCGTGGCCAAGGTTGCACACCTGACTGATGCTGCGCACCCACACTTGCATTTCCTCCTCTGTCTTGGCCACAAGATAGAATGTGCGGGAAGCAGTCTTGACAATGAACACGAAGTTATTCTGGAATTCCCTGCGAACGAAGCCAGGCCCTGCATGCTTCCACACAGCACACTCGCTGAGGTCTATCACGCGGATGGGCTTGCTTGAGCGCTTGCTCCTGTAGTACTCCAAGACATCGGGGTCGCCGCTCATACGGCCTCGCCGGAGGACAAACCAGCGCTTGCGCCAAGCCTGAAAGGAGAGGAGGCAATTCCGCAAGGAGTCAACAGACCAATTGCTCTTGTTTCTCAGGTTCTACTAAACTCATGTGTCATGACAAAGAGCAGAAATGAGGTAAACAGCCATTCACATAATGAAATATCACTAATGCACAACCTTCAAATCTGCTTTACTGGATGCTTTGAAATATGGACCAGAATGAGGAAGTGTAACTATGGAGTGCACACTCCACAGTCTGAAGGGCCACAATTGCAAGCGTATATTTAGCACATACTTGTGATTTAAAATAGTTTTGAAATGAAGAGTGAGAATGAAGCATTGCTAGCATTCGCGGTTGCAATAGCAACCTACTGAAATCACAAAGGGCCACCTTCGCCAGGTGTTGGTATCAGTGGCAGGAATTGTCATAATAGAATGGACATCTTGGAAGGAGTTAAATTTTGAGGAGGATCTAAGGTTGCCGGGCTCCCTGCCCGCCTCTGATCCAGAATGTTTGCTGGATGCTGGGCAGATCACAGGCTTAGGGAAAGAGTTCACTGAAATTGACCATATGTCAAAGGAAGCCTTTGGAACTATAAACTTCTCTATCCTCTGATGAGGCCTGACAGAAGGAAGTGGGGGCACTTCTTTGAGTTTCCTACACCTTTTTTTTTTTTTTTTTTTGCTCAAGGCATGCCACCGTGACAGCCTGCATGGATAACTTTCTGCTACAGGGAACTAAGCACAGTAAATGGTGGCAGGCTGACAGCAGAGCTTTCTTCCATGGACCATGCTTAATGTTACAGTTGGCAAATGCTAGTAGGGAGATTTATAGCTCTGTGGCTTTCTCTCCAGCGCAGTAAACATGTATGACAGCAGGAAGTGCAGGGATCTGCCATCAGGCATGGTGACCGCTGGGACAGGAAGTCTATTGCTACTTCATTTATGCCTGAGGCTGTATACATATAATAGCTTTGAACAGAAGGCGAAAGAAAAAAAGCCACCATTTGGAGTATGCTCAGCTCCCATCCTACTAGGAGAAAATGGGATCCGAGGTTGCAGAGAATCTGAAAAAGAATGGAAAAGCACAAGCAAAGGCCACTGGTCACGGAGAACCCAGGAGAACAACTTCTTTGGACTTCATGGCGAGGCCCGCAAACAGAAGGAGGTCAGTCATATGATGCAAGTCAGATGGCTTAGTTCTGCCTTTGAGAAGATGCTAGAGACCAAGAAATCAATGTGATTAAGTCTGTTCTGTAAACAAACAAAAAATGCTTGAGAGACAGAGAAACAAAGGGAAACAGAGAGAAGCTGATAGAAACAAAAGCAAGATGGTTCCCATCTTCCAGTTCACTCTCCAAATGCCTGCAATGATTAGGCATAAGTCCAACTGAAACCAGGAAGCAGGAGCTCCATCCAGGTCTCCCACATGGATGGCAAGGACCCAAGTACTGGAGCGATCAGCTGCTGCTTCCCAGGGTGTGCATTAACAGGTACATGGAATTGGAAATGGAGCTGTAGCTCAAACCTAGGAACTTTAATATAGGATAAAGGTGTCTCAGGGGAGCTTAACTTGCATGCCAAATACTTGTTCCTAAACCATGTTTGCCTACAAAGCAAAGCTTTTGTGTGGGGCCTGGGATACCCCAAACTTTCCAAAAACCACTTTGGTGGGGAAATGTGAAGAGGAACTATGTTCCAGTTCCCAAAATTGACACTAAAGAGGAAATC